GGAAAAAAATCAAAAGAGAAACAATTGTAATAAACAAAACACACCGTTACTGCTTCAATGGGAATTGAGAGGATAAGTAGCACTTAATAAGTGTGACTGGCTCTAGAAAAACAGATGAAGTTTTACTAGTTTGTTGGTGTGGAGCATTCAGGTTCGTGTCAATACAATGCCAAGAAAAAAACATCTGGAATGATTTTGGAAAACAACTGTTGCTGCCCATCAATCTGGTAGCTGTTATAATTTCCAAACAATCTGAAATCCATCGTTCCACTTGTTTTTCAACATTCGCCATGATTTCCAGTCTTCCCAGAAGAGGACAAATGTTAAAGTTCATGACAGCACAATTAGAAAAACACTGAACGAGCATGGCTTACCAAGATTAAGTTTGCATAGCCACATCTAAACAAACCACAAAGACTTCTTAAATGTGTTTTATAAAGACAAGACCAAAGTGGAGATGTTTGATTGTAATGCACAGCAACACATTTGGAGAAAGTCAAACAGCACGTCAGCACGAAGACTTCATACCAGCTGTGAGCACAGTGGTGGAGGGGTCATGATTTGAACTTGTTTTGGACTCACATCTGTTTAATAGTTAAAGAATAAAAATAAAAAACTTAAAGCACAATGATCCCAAGCAAAACAGCAAATCTAAAACAGAGTGGCTGAAAAAGAAAAGAATCAAGATGTTTCAATGACACAGTCAAAGTCCAGACATCAACCTGATTGAAATGCTGTGGTGGGACCTGAAAAAAAGACAACATTCCACAATGGTGACGTGAGAGACAGGATAAAGTAATACAGAAAAAAAGCCTTGAAGTTGTTGCTGCTAACTGTGATTCTACAAGCTCCTGAGTCATGGGGCGCACTTAGTTATTTGTAGCATTGCAGAGTCTTTTATTTTTTAAAGGGCACCTTTCTGTGTGTTGTTGGCTTTTATTTGGATTCGCCCTGATGATTCAGAGTATTTCCTAACAGATTCAGCGATGGGTAGATCCTCCTTGCATGTGCTCTATGCTGCTTCTCAAAAAAGAAATAAATCAAAAACAGGTAGCTAAGGAAAAATTAAGGAGTTCTTCCATTTTCATAATTGCGATTGAGTAAATGTACAAAAGATTCATAAGAGAATATTTAACTATACGTGCAGTAGACTGTATTGCTGCTGATACGTTGATGTTAGGGGTATTTCATGTTCCAGCAGCTTTATTTATTTATTTTTGTAACAATTTTTTCTACTTGTCTGTAACATTATTAAACTTGCTTAGAAATCTTATGTAAAAATGAAAGGTAGCTACAGCTACTTCAACCTTCTGCTTTAGCCCAGAGTTCTGAAATAACTGAGTTAGCTACTTTAGTTGCTGTGCTGTGAGGAGCCCATGTGAAATTCCAGTGAAAACCAACAAAGGATATGTATTTTTGCCATATGGGTGAACTGGCGGTTTTCATTGTGATCTTATTCCCCTCTGAGGCCTCATCATTCCTATTATTCTCCCAGGTCTTGGTTGGAAAAAAAGACCCTCGGAAATTGTGAGACTAATATCTGAGAATGTGATGCAAGTGTGGGTGTGACAGAGTGTTTGGGATAGGCCTGAAGGGCTTACAAAAGCACAAGAAAATCCCACTGCAGGTCAAACATGCAGTATCTGTGGGTGTGATAGGTGGGGTGAGAGTCTGTGTGGTTATCAGAGACAGGTGTAGGCACGGCCATACATGTAGGTATTGGGCCAGCTGTATTGATTCCGTCCCTGACAGCACAGGTGGCGGTGGTGTTGGTAGTCGGGGGAGGAGCCGGAAGAAAAGAGGGGGACATTGATAACAGTGTCAACTGACCCCAGCATGCTTGCCTGAAGCGTGGGAGGGCATTGAGGGAACGCCCAACAGGCTCTCAATAGGCCTTATTCACAAAAATCAGTCAAAGGTTTCACATGAGAGCACGGCATGGGCGCACAGGGTGATCTGTAATGTTTAGACAAGCAGATAATGTCACTGGATTGTCAGTGAATGATTTTTTTTAAAGCCTTAAAATTTGGGCTCAATTTATTTAAGGCTTAAAAATGTGTGAAAGAACACTTGTTCTATTGCAACACTGGATTTATAAAATATCAAACATCCTGGTTAAGTACATTATTAAGTACAGTTTGTTGATATAGTGTCTCTATATTCTTTGGATACTGCCGTATAATTTAGCAATTTTATATATATATATATATATATATATATATATATATATACAACTTAAGTTACATGATTTTACAAATGCTAACACTTAAACCACCAAAATGAGAAATTCATATGTTAAAAATATTTTTAAAATTAAATAAATAAAATGACTAATTTTATTGAATACATACATACATACATACATATATATATATATATATACATATATATATTTGCACTAATGTCTTCTTTTCAAAGGTGATTTGATTTAGTTTCAGGTGTGCTGCTTACAAAGGAGCTCACTGAAGAAATATTTCAGACAACCATAAATCACACCAATCAGAGAGCCTTATTGGAGGGTTGATAAGATTAAGATTAGTGGAGTAAATTCAATGTGTGTGTGTGATTAATGGAGACAGGCAGTCGCCTCTCTCTGGGGCTGTGTGCCACACAGCAGATCAGCTGATAGAGAAACCTACTGCAAGGACTGCGGGTGACATTTTTAAAGCCTGTATCAATCATTGTAGAGGAAAGACTCTTGGACTTTTATAATGTTTGAGTATCATCGGGTCTAAATCATTTTCTAGCATCTTACATGCTAAATTAAGTAACCCGTAAATGTAGGTGACTGCAGAATGCGTAACATTTTATCATTTCAATGAGGCACAACACCCCCTTTTGCCTCAATTGGTACATTCCAATCATATAAATTAAATACACCAGACGTGGTGGATGTAGGTCACTCAGTGTCCTGCACCGATTAAAAGAAAACAAAAGTTTACTTCTTGGCCACACCTGACATCTCTTATTTAATATGGGGGAGAGGTTGCAAAGTCAAAAAACTTATGTTTGCTCATTTTTTGATTGTAAAGCTACATTCAGTAAACAGTGGAGGCTTGATGCTCACCTTTGCAAACACACAGGATTGGTAAGTGGCTCAGAAAGGCTAGAAGCATGAAACAATAAATAGCTGATGTGAGAATTGAATGCAGCTGATTGAATGGCTGCTAAGTGCTCCCTGGCCTTATGTTAAATCTTAGAAACCATTCTCCTGTGAGGGCTGTGACAAGAGCTTCTGCACCCGCTACCAACTCACCAGACATGAGCTCAGTCACAGTGGGGAAAAGCCACACAAGTAAGCAAGCAGTTTGTGCCTAATTGTCAAGTCATTAGGTTAAAAAAACAAAACAAAAAGCAAACCTACTTTTGATTGCTCTGAACAGTTACCTTCTTTGCTCTCCAGGTGTCCGGCTGATGGTTGCTCCGAGGCCTTTGTCAAGAACGCCAGCCTGAAGAACCATATGGCCCGAGTCCATCAGCAACAGGAAAAGCGATTTCAAGTATGGCTAGGCTTATTTTCTTTTAAGTTGTCCTGTGATTTCTTTATATTTGTTTAATTCTGCTGCTTTTTCAGTGTGATCATCAGGGCTGTGAAAAGGAATTCAACAAGAGGAACCAGCTGAAAGCTCATCAGTGTGAGCACCAAGAGAGTCTGCCTTTTCAGTGAGTGGCTGATGCAACAACTTGTTTTTTGTTTTGTTTTTTTTTCCATGTATTTGACAATTTCAAATTTAACCTCGTATTTATTTTCAAGTTGTTCCTTGACTGGATGCACGAGAGAATTTCTCACTCTTAAAAAACTGAAGCATCATGAGAAAATGCATGAAGGTAAGTTGGTACCAGAGCAGTGAATTTCTCTTAAAGCGTGTGCTCAAGTAAAACCCTTGTCTTTCTGCGGCAGGCTACCCTTGTGAGACTGAAGGGTGTCCTTTTCAGGGAAAAACTTGGTCAGATTATCTGAAGCACAGAAAAGAACACAAAGGTATAAATGAAACTCTAGGAAGCACTGATGCCATGTGACTCTCATGCCAGCTGTAAAACACTAACTACTCCTCTGGTCTCAGACAAGGTGCTGTGTGGACGGTGCAACAAGCTGTTCAGCAACTTCTGGTTCTTGCGCCTGCATGAGCTTCGCGTCCACTCCGGGGAAAAGAGAATGTTTCTGTGCCCCAAAGAAGGTTGTGAGAAAAAGTTCACTCGCCGCTTCAACTTGGAGAGCCACGTGCTGGGAGACCATGAGGGGAAGAAGCCCTTCAGCTGTGCTGTTCCTGGCTGTAACAAGAGCTTTGCCATGAAGGTGAACCTGCACTTCAGTGTATAGAATTAAATGTATATGTATAACTTTCAAGCCAGTGTTGTCCAACAATGGTGATGACGTGGGTTAATTCCTTAAGAGGTTGACAAACAGATTTTTCTCAGACTACATTGTTTTCAGTGATGAACAACTTCCTGTAACCTTCATTATATAAGGCAGGGCTTTTCTTTTTCTTCCCCAATCCAGAAACTAAATTATTTTCTCCTTGCTTTGCTGTTAATTAGGAAAGCCTGTGGCGACATGGAGTGGTGCATGACCCAGCAAAGAAAAAGCTGAAGGTACTATTGACCTTAAAATGGATTTGGGGTTATGGCTTTTCCACACATTGTCCTTGAATATGTTACAGCATTGGTTCTTTACTCCTCTTCCAGAAACTGCATCCTAAAAAGAATCGGCCCATGGCACAGCAGGCCGGACTGGCAGCTGCAGCCAATCAAGCGGAGGCCAACGAGCTTGCTGCAAAGCTACACAGCACAACTTTGGAGAATAACAGACCTTGAGGCTGCGTTAAGACCTGGATGTGTTCTTTAATGATGAAACATCACATTTCTGTTTTTGTTTGTGAATAAAAGCCTCATCAATGCACTATTACTGCGGCAATGCTTCTATAGCTGTTGGTGTAATATGCCAAAATGGCTTTCAGCATTCACTTACAAAGTGGAAAATGACACTGTAGAGTCATGAATCCTTTGCAGGAAGTGTTTATTAAACAAACAGCACACATTCAAACACATGTATAAAACTCCAGCTGCTATTGCAGCTGGTTTATCATGGTGATGAGGCCTAAGGGCAGTTGAGCCCCAAGGGTGCGGCAGGTTTCTAATAAGGCCTGAGGCTCATTCAGCTGGATACAGCACTGGTCTTGCAGAACATCTCGATTAAACTGATTAACTGTCATTATCCTAGATCACAGCAGATCGCAGACTACTCCTCAAAAATATTTAATCTCTACCTGCATCGATGCATCCACCTGAATATAGCCCTGGATTCTACAACTGCCTGGTGAGGTGACTAGAGCACAGATTGCCTGTTAACAGTTGCAGTACTATTCTCCCCGTGGGAGTGAAGACAACATGACCATATGATCACAGCAGTGTGTGTGAGAGTGCAGTCTGTCGCGTGACGTGGCACGATCTGGATCAGTTCCCACCTGGTCAGGACAGGCTTGGGTCCTGCTGGGTCTTCAGTAGTTCTGAATGCGTTTGGTCCTGGATTAAGCCCGATATGGAGCGATGTACAGTAGCACGTACCAGTTCACTTTGGCCAAGGTCGTTCCCAATATAGAACATTCTGGGTGGACTCTATGGAGTGCGCAGCCTGCTCATGATCTGGCCCAGCTATACCAGGCTGCCAGGCCAGGAGACTACAGTAAGCGCCACCCGGCTGCGCTGCTCTTTCAGCATGGGCACCAGGGCCGAGTGGCTCATTCCTGCTGTCGACAGGCCGTTGACTGCCACTATCATGTCACCACACCTGAGATGACAAAGAGAGACATGTTATCATAGGGTTAGAAACAGGACCTGATAGCTTTGGGCTCAAACAGCACTACATACATGAAGACGAGCCTTTTGAGATGACTGTGATCATCAGCATATTAATTTGCAATTAAAATAATTGCAGGGTACAATTTGAACTCCAACATCTTTAATGGCACTTATGAATTTCCCACAATAAGCTGTGCAGCTGTATTTTAGTAACATGTAACCTTGTGTAACAGAGTGGCTAGGAGAGGTGTTTTTAATAGGTTTTAGAAAACAAAGCTCTGTGGCATACAGATTATACTTATTAGGATTATTTCATTGTTGAAAAAAATATCACTACCTTTATTCTTTAATCTCTGAGGAAAGATTAGCCTTTACTCTGAATATTTTTTGTAGTACTGACACAAAAAGGGTACAGAGAAAGGAAGGAAAATACTCAGAGAGAAGACATATCTACTGTAACTTTTTAAAACCTACAATAGACGTTATTCGTTTTGATATATGCACAGATGAGCTAAAGAACTGAATTATTTTATTGCTTGCTAGCTGCATTATGACAATAGATAAGACAGTTATGCCTCTAAATATTAGCATAAAAAATAAGGGCACACTACAAATGTGGGCCTTTTGAGCCTTACAGCTGTTAAATAGGTTCAGTCAGGACCACTACAATCAAAAGAATAGTTATTTCTGTAGTAATTTATATTTCACAGGGAGATCAGGTATGAAAACACTGATTAGGTCAGACACAATGTGAAAAGGAGGAGCCAGGGTGGTGATGGGTTGCAAAGTGGACAGCAGTTGTGTAACAACTTTGGGCAGGCTAAAGCAGCTTAAACAGAGTGCCCTATCTGAGATTTACCAATTGGATGAAAGGTATCAGATGAGCCACTGTCCAATTTAGGCTGGCACAGAGCTCAGCTGATCTGCCAGGATTACAGCAGAGCTTGAACTAACCCTTTGCTCTGTACTTGCTGAAGCCTCAAAAGCCTCAAGCAGACAGCCTGGATTATAATGATCATTATACACATATTTCTTCTTAAAGCCTGAAGTAAAAATCACACAAAGTTATTTATTTATCCCCCCCCCCCTGTTTTTGTAAGCCACAGATTATCATATAAAGCACAACTGATCACTCACTTGAGGCGGCCGTCATAGTATGCGGGTGTGCCGAGGACGATGGTCTTGATAAAGAACGCCTGGTTGCCATGGCTTTCCTCATATCCCCCGACGATGCTAAATCCCCAGCTGCCAGGATGGCTCCTGCGCAGAACAATCTCATGGCTACTGTGAAGGTAGCTGCAAGGAGAGGGTGGAGAGCAGAGTGAAGGAGGGCTGGACAGACAGATGGACAGACAGATAGATTGATTATGATCCCACGAACAGATTCAGGACGCTCATGTTGATAGTTTTAATACATAGTAAAAAAAGAATCCCTGGGAAAATGTGACAAATAACCAACCAATCAGCACAAACCCCACAAATCAGAAAGTTAATATATTATATATATAGTTAAGATAAAAACAAGAAAAACATGACATTTAATGAAGATACAAGCTTTTCTTTATTGTATAATGTCCTATTTGAAGCTGCTGACAACACCACCAGATCACAAAACACAATCACACATCCAGAACTATATTGTATTTCCTCTGTGTGCTCACCTGGGCAGGCCCAGCCACATGACCCACGAGGGGGACCAGTTGGCATCAAAGTCACTGTCGTGAGTGTGAGGCAGCAGCTCATCATGGTCCTGCTCTTCCACCATGCTGACCTCGAGCACTCGCAGCTGGACCGAGGGCGACGCAGCGCTGGCCTTCAAGGTGCCCACGGCCTCACTGTGGCTCAGGTAGGTCAAATCCTGCCCGTTGATGCTCAGCAGCACATCACCTGAGAGAGGAAGCGAGAAGATGCAGTGGTTTTCTGATGTGATGTTTGGGTTGTGGCTCAATCGGTCCAGAGGAAGCGTTCACCTCTTTTGATTCGCCCATCCCTCGACAAGCAGCCGTGCGGTTGGACGCTCGTCACAAAGATCGGCAGCTCCCCGCTCTTGCTGCCCCGCCCTCCTGCAACAGTCATGCCCAGAGACTCGTGTGGTTCCTTCTTCACAGTGATGTGTTTCTCCTTACAGGTCACACACTGGGACAGGTCCTGGGAGCAATCGAAACACAGGCTTGATTTCAATACGGCAAAAAAAAAAAAAAAGTAGACTCTTTTCATTGTATTACTTTTAAACCTCAGTTTAGATTTTGATCTCATAAAATCTAATTTTATAACGAAGTAAAGGTGAAACAAAAAGGGCAAGTCATGTCCTCACTCTGTGGGTGCTGGTGCGGGACAGGTGTATGGCCACAGGACTCGGGGTAGAGCTGTGGTTAGGCAGGAAGTGATCAAGGCAGTAAAGGTCTCTGGTGGAGCTTGATTTTGGCGGCGGCGGTGGAGTTGGTTTGCTGGGTCGGCCAATCAGCAGGTGAACTCGTTCTCCACTGGCCTGAAAGGGCAGAATGTGTGCTTTAGAGACAAATCTGAAGTAGCAAAATTATTTTTCAGCCCCTGTCTGTAAAACCAAAAGGGAAATCCAGGATTGTAGACCCAAATGAACAAACTGCACCTGTATGATCTGAGCAGCTTGCTCTGGGGTGCCGTGTCGCAAGTCCTGTTCATTGACTGCCAGCACGCGGTCGTTACTCCGCAGTCTGCCATCCTTGGCAGCCAGGCCTCCCTCCAGGAGATCTAACACAAACACCCCTGACTCATCCGTTCGCCGTACCAGCTTGATTCCAAGCTGCTCTGTGGAGTCTCGCTTATGCAGGGTGATTCTCAGAGTGGCTGGGCTGGGTGGGGTGACTTCGGGAGTGGAGCAGGGGGCATGGGGGACTGCTGGGGTGGAGGAGGAAGAGGAGGGAGGTGCCCGGGAGGCACAGCGACGCTCCCGGAGTACAGTCAGCTGCAGGGTGGTGCAGGGGCGGGCCAGGGTGGAGCGAGCAAAACTGTGTGGCACGTTACTGATGTCCACATTGTTCACCTTGGAGTGGAGAGGAATGGAAAATAAAAACTAGATGAGCAAGCTAGCTTTGAAACATGACCAGATTCTTAGCTATCTGACGCATTTAAGTCGCACACTCATTTTCATTTACCTCTGTTTTGGTCAACACCAAAAACAACTGAGAAATAAATACAGCATTTATAGCTTCCCCTGTCTGAAAGGTAACTAAATTGTGTCTGTCTGCTCTCTGGAGCTTTCTCATGGAAATGGACCGTAAATAGAACCATAAAACCACAACAGTGTGCCAAAGGGTGCTAACATCTACAGATCATGACTATTAGTGAACTGCTCACTAAGGGTGATCCCTTTCAACTACAAGTACTCATCTGATTACCATTAACTGAAGACTATTGATTAGAGGAGCTTTTAATAATAGACCAAAAATAGAAAGTTGACTAAGACAAAAGTAAATGTGGTGCTGAGAGAAAACAACTGGCTAATTTCTAAGTGAAGCTCTAAACTATCCTAAAATATATACGTAGATATTTTTCTCCAAAACACAATGTCGAAACTGATAGTCAGGATAATTTAGAAATCTTGCAGTCACACAGCATATCCAGAACAATGTGCCCTGCTCCACTGTTTACAATATTCTCAGCGCTGCACTATCTGCAGCACACCTCCCACAGACTCCTAATAAAATGTTTATTAAGCTCTTGTCTTCAACAAATCTTCCAAACACTCTCCGAAAACACTGAAAATTTACACCTGAAACTGATCTCTCACCTGGAGTATCTGATCCCCGGCGAGCAGCCTCCCGTCCCTTGCAATGACCCCGTCTCGGTAAACTTCCTGAATCACGATGTTGATGAGAGGCGTCTCATTTCCACCAACAATGCTGATTCCCAGCTCTACATATGGGTTTGCACGGTGGACCTCTATGGCAGTTATCTCTCCTTCAGGAAGGGAGGGGAGCTTCACACAGCCTAGAGGAGACACCAGTGACATTATCAAAAAAAGCTTCCCTTAAGAAAGTAATTTCCACATCTTTCCAACCTTTAGTACAAAGCTGACTGGATGTGATTATCCATTTTTTGTATAAGACTACAGCTCGTAAGGCAGTAAGGTATTTCATTATCCAAGGTCCCTTTGAGAAGATCCTCAGTGAAAGGAACAGATGATGTCATACCCTCCTCAGCAGACAGAGGCGGGGATTCAGGGCAGTCCCAGCCAGAGGAGGTGGAGCTAACGGAGCGCAGGAGATGGATACAGGGATTACTGAGGGGCCGCTTCACCCTGGGAACCACACACTCCAACCCTACTACACCTACAGGCAGAAGGAAACGAAGAGATGGATGACAGCTATATTATTAACTTTACTGACAATCCAAGGTCGATAGATCAACTTACTGTCTTCTTCGGTGCTTTCCTCAAAGGCTGGGTTGTCAAGGCCGGCATCATTTGTCCACACAGGCCCATTACCGCAGCTGTTATTGGGTCCAGAGGGCGGTGACGGCGTGCGGTCCCTCAGGTCTGTCTGTGGTGTATGCGGTGACCTGGGAGGGCTGGTCACCATTGCTCGCTCATCCCCGCTCTCGCATCGTGGACCGTCCCCATTTGTCTGCTGACTCTGCATCCCTGGACACCTTTCATCAAGCAACAGGTGTCAGCGTATCACCCCATCCGACATGTAAAGAAAACCAAGCTCAGTTAACTTGATGCGGTGCTCGCTCACAAGAGAAGAAAACTTGAGAGATTTTTTTCTTACACTGCTGAAGTTTACAATGACTTTAGTTAACAGGTTCTTTCTAAAATTCCAAAATTAAATCAGTGAAGCACAAGTGAAGCTCCAGAAACATGCAGACACTTTGAATAGTGCAATAGTGAGGTTTTTTTTTTTTTTTTTTTTTAACCCTAACTACTATGCAAATTCATATTTAAGGTTTTTGATTTTTAAAATTTGTTAGAAGATTGAATAAACACTAAAAATTACAATTTTCTGGCAATTTTGTCCTGGTTCAGGCTTTACAAAGATAAAATCCCAGGAAAAAGAAGCAAAAAAAAGAAAAAGTCTGTTTTTGTGGTTGTGATTTTCAGTTGTAAATTAGCCTTGACCCTTCAAACTGTCTTGAATTAATAACATCATCTAATTTTTCAAGCAACATGAAGATCTTAAAGCTCTGGGAAGAATGGGAATTCTATGCTAGGAAGCACTTCAAAGCCATAAAACAGCGAAAAAAGACGTCTTTCCCAAATTCCCAAAGGCAAAGGCCAGCAAACGCTCACATCTGAGAAGCTGAAAACAGAGAAAACTGCTGATTTGTTGTATGAATAGCTCTGAGATCAGATAATGAGCTACAAGTTAATTATAAAACGTTTCCTTAAAAAAGAAACACATGATGACGTGTCCCTTCTTCGCCTACAAAAATAGAAACACTTTACTTAGAAACAATTTAAAAATAAACGCACAACGACTCCCTCAAAGGGTCAGTATGGTGTCAGCCTTAATTTCCTTTATTACTGTAAGTGGTAGCTTAGAGGTGACAGGTGTTTAGTCCCTTGTGACACAGAGTAATTTTGTTTTCTTTAATGAATTTCCTTCCTTCCTTCTCTTTCGTTTTTGCAAAGAACGAATAATTTTGACAGGAAAACTGGTAAATGCTAAAAACAAAGACTTCTGCTCACATAGATGTAGTCATTTGGTTCCTTTGTTTTTTTTCCAGGGACAGTGAAAGTTCATTCCTCACACGTACACGGGCAACAAAATGAAGCAGCCCACCATAATCATCGTGGAACACCGTGTCCTCCTCTTTTAATCTAATGTCTGATCCCTAATCTTCAACAAAAACAATGTTGACTTTTAAAGTCACACAAACACAACGGCAGGCTGTTGGCTGCTATCTTAAACCTAAGTCTGCAGGGGAGCGGTGAGCTCGCATGAGGCCGAGATTTAAGCTTTGCTACAGAATGTCGCGTTAGTCCTCGTGGTGACCTTGTGTGATCTGTTAGACCATCTTTCCTTATCTTGTCAACACAACCTTACTCGTGTATTCTTTCCTGAGGCAAGACCGGGATGCAGATACTTTTAAGAATAAATGTTTAAAGGGGATACACTCAAGAGATTTTGCCCTTACAGCCTCACTAGAAGAAGACAACTAGTGTTGTTACGCAACATTTGACCATTTACCGTTATCTTGTTGACTTTCGGCTTCACCGGCTGGCACTTTGCTACACAGCGTTTCTTTAAAAGGGATTCTTTTATAGAAAAACAGCTGACTCAGAAAAGCTTTTAAAGGACTGTAAGTGATAGTCTGTTACCCTGATCTTGTTAAGGAAAATCTCCTCAACTTAATCGAGGTGTTAGGAGGACAGTGGAAAACCAGTCAATAAACCAACGTCAAAACACTGTAAATACTCTGAAGAAATTCTACTAGAAAGGAGTCTGCTTAAAGATCAAGAGCACTGGTTTTAATGCCTTAACCAGGCACAAACACATCATCACATACTGCTTGAATTACATCCTTGAAGCAGCAATGACAGCCTGACACCGATGCACGCACACGTAATTGTGCATTTCAGTGCAAGACATGGCAACAGAGGAAGCAGGACAGAGAGAGTAAGAGGCAAAGCAAACCGAGAGACAGACTGAAATAACAAAAACAGTGGAAACCAGCGAGTAAATAATGTCTTTTTGTCATTCTGAGTCACGCTGACCTCACACCCCACTGCGTTCGACTCACCACAGGCCGGGGTTGCCCTTGGCTGTCTCACAGAAGAAGTGGTTGAAAAGATCTCTGGTGTTGAAGTTGCTCAGCATGGTTGCAGAATGAGAACACGAAGGCTCCTGGTCAGCCAACCCATGACTGTCGAAAGGGAATCACTAATCCCCCGTCACATGACCTACAGCCCAATAATCCCTGCAGGGTCTCACAGCACCTGGTCCAAACGGGCCAAAAGCCAAAGCGTGTGCACGGGATGGGGGAGACCTTTAAGGTTAAGAATGGTGGGTAAGTCTATGTGATGCGGACTCTGATTTGTGATATCTCCACTGGTTCAGCTGAAAAACAAGCCAATCACAAGGACGGATTGGCCCTGAATGCTGCTTGTGGTTATTACTAAAAGATGTTCAACCGATCGCCTGGTGGCTTTGTTAGCTGAGAAGCTAAGCTCATGAAATCCTGACTGCATGCACGGTGTCATAATGATCTCATGCATTCATCTGTCTGCATAAAAGCTTTATTACCTGTGTTTAAGGTGCGCCTCCAGGTCACAGCGAGGCATGCTGAGGGAGCAGACAGGGGTCAAAGGGCAGGACACAGACAGCTTGTCCAGCAGCTTGTGCACCAGGATGCTGGACCTGCGGCATGCCTGCAGCTGCAGCCGGGTCCTGTCCAGAGGGCAGAAGTCCCTCTCCTGGAGGAAGCTACGCAGGCAGCGGGCGCAGAAGGTGTGTCCGCATGGCGTATCGAGAGGCTGCACCAGCGGTTGCAGGCAGATGTGGCACACCAGATCGTCGTCCACTTCCAGACGGTAGTTGTAAAGGTGGTTTTCCCAGCTGCGGTGGATCTGGCCACACTCGGGACACAGAGCCTCCAGAGCTGGCTCCACGGACCCAGCCAGACCCACCTCGGAGCCCGGGCTGCCCATGTCTTCTCCTTCAACGCAATTCAGCTTTGGCACGACTGAGTCCAGCTGGGATGCAGAGCGGTTGGGAAGGGGCGCACACACTCCTATCCCATAAGCTTCAGAGGCTGAACAGGTGGCGGAGAGGACAAATGCCCCCCAGTGGCTGATGGCACATCACCCTGTGGGTCAGAGGCCAAAACAAGAGAGTTAAACAGCTGTTTCCGAAAAAAAACAAGACAACAAGTGTTGGGCATTTATTCATGTGGCAAATGCTTTGTGCACGTGTGCCCACGTGTTTGCATGAGACCGAGGGTGACACCGTGTGTGTGTGTGTGTGTGTGTGCACGTTTATGTCACTGCTGAGATTATGTATTGCTGCTTCTGTCCACTAATCTGGCAGTATAATCTCTCTTTTGCTCTCGCCTGCTCCAATCTTCCAATTCCACAGAGAGGGAATTATCTGGGATTGAGGCAGAGCGAGGGCACAGATCAGAGAAAGTGAGCTTGGAAAAGCAGCAGAAAAGGAAAGTGGTGCCGACAAGATATGGAAGGGAGCGTAGACAGGTGGAAGAGGAGAAAGAAGAAAAGATCAATGGGATGTGAAAAGAGGTACAAGGGAAGAATAAGAATATGGAATGGAAGAGAGGATGGAAGGAAGGGGGCAAAGCCAAGGAAAATGCTTGATATTTTTGGTTCAGGCTGGGTACAGTAGATGAACTCAGTCTCCTCTACAACGGAAAGAGAACACGCCCAAAGCAAAGTCTTGAAATATAGCACTCCAGCGAGCAGAGCGTGTCCCCAGAGCTAATGCACCACAGTGTGCGCTGATCATTTCCACAGCGTTTCACATCCAAAGCCCCTCAGACCCCCTCGGCCCTTCTATTAGCCCAGCCTCCGAGGGGCCAGATGCTATCAGCCGACAGCAGAGGGCGTGCCTCTACACTCAGCGGGCCCAGCCAAGATACAGTGACTACCTGCCTCTGTTCCAGCGAGGGTCTGCTCCTGTCTCCATGACGACCTGGATCCCGTTCTGCTCAGTGGGGCTTGACATTCAGAGTGTAGCCAGAGAAGGATGCAGAGGAGCCACACAACAGATGCACTCCTCTCAGCAGGATGCTCTGCTCCTCCTCGGTACAGCCTGAAAGCTTGTCAGACAGCGCAGACGATGATGATGAGAGTCCCCTTGAGTCGTTTTTTTTCTGCTCTTTTCATCTCGTCTGGGTCTTTTTTTTTTTTTCCTTGTGACAACCTGTCCCTCCTGTCTCCTTGGCCACCCCACCGGTAGTTACTTATTTCAGCCTCCTTTAAGTACGTGCTCCTCTTGTCTGCGTGTGACTGGCTGCTTCTGTCTCTATCCCGCAGCTGGACATGAATTAATCATGAGGACACAAGGCTTCTCTGTTTCTATAACAAAGCTGTGACATCACCACATCACACACACACACAAACAAACACACATATAAACACACATATACGCGTAGACATGCGAGCGTAAGTCTACACAACCAAAAGCAAACACGCACGTTGAGCACAAGGGCGTTTTTAGGTACCTGTGAATGGTCTTTATCAATAAGTAAAGTCTTCGTGTTTTCACTGTGACGGCACTTCAGAGCAGTGAAAAGCACTTAAATGTGCTTTAAACAGAGCCGTTGCAACAGATTCCTTTATACAAGCAATATGAAGACTGGCAAATGCTTGTAGAATATCTCTTTTAATCCCACCACACAGTGTGTGTGTACATGTGTGTATAAGAGTCCAAGGCCGGGCTGTTATTGTCATTGCACTGCTTTCCATTTCAGTAAATAACACTCTTGTCTCTCTGGTTATTGTTCGAAATGACAATCTAATCTTACAGGACACGACAGTCCAGTGTGCAGGAATTACATTTTCAAAGAAGATGAAATGATGTTTTAGGCCACAGATTTAAAATCTCAGGTCCTCTCGGCTTAGCCTACATTTTCATAAAACCCCATCTCTCTTATCTTAAAAAAAAAAAGGCTCTGGTAGCCACTTGCAGGAACAGGCCTGCTGCTGCTGCTGTTCTGCAAGGTCTGTTGCAATAGGCTGCCTTTTTTTCTTAAACCACCCCCCTCCACACCACCCAGACACACAAAGATAACAAAAAAATGACACTGATTTAATTTAAATTTACAACAATTTTTTTCTGGCATAGACCTGATCTACCTTGGGAGCGCTCCCACTGCAGTGTCATGATCAAATACGCAAGCCCCACACACTTACATATGTCATAATTTTTTTTTTTAAATCATTGCCCCCCATCTGTCTGACTCCATCCCACCCTCCCCACAAGCGGAAAAACCTGGGACCGATGAGGCGACAGCAGCATAGAAAGCAAAGCCAGCCACACACTGACACCGCTCGCGCAGGCAGATGTGATGTGACGTTACCTTTTCCGGCGGCTCCTCCGCGCCGTGCACTCCGGCCCCAAAAAGGGGGGTGATTATTAGCCGCGGGACCTCAATCACGCATCCACCGCAACGGACCGTTCCGCAAAACCCGCACGAAAACGCCCCCGTGCCTTTGGCAGCGCTGACCCCGCCCACTGCTGTCCGTCAAAACCGAGTGGGCGGGGCATACGGTTGTCAATCCAGAGGAGAGCTAGGGGTTGGCTTTAAGACCGCCTTTTCGTAAATAAATAATTAAAAAACAAATAGACAAGTAAATATATAAATAAGAAAATGAATAATATAAAATAAATAATAAAACAAAATGTGTTTAAATATATTTATGTATAAAAAAATTCTAATAAGTCAGCAAATACAACAAAATAAATAGATGTATACATTGTAACATATACTGTATACATTTGTAACGCAGACAAACATAGGTAAAACGATACACGAATAAACACACACACACACACATATATATATATATATATATATATATATATATATATATATATGTGTGTGTGTGTGTGTGTGTGTGTGTAAGATGCATAAGTAACTACATATACATACATAAATAAATAAATACATGGAACAAACATAAAAACGTAAATAAAAGTATTTATACTGTAAGTTATTCTTTTTGAAGATTACTGGTTACATTGTAGACTACTGTTATAAAGGCTTAAAGGGGGCGTGAGATTAAAACTTATTAACATGACGTTTTATTTTAAATAATAAGTGAAACTTAATTTTACAGCTTTCAGTTTTGGATAAATGCCGATTTTAAAGATGAGAGTGTCTCCCTTTCTCAACAAGTTCTGAGAGATGTTAATAGTTAATTAGCACAAAAAACCTACGTATAACATTCACCAAGCAGCGCAATAAAATAAAGAAACCTCACCAGAATTTAGGTCGGTTGATGGTCAGAAATAATGACGACAAAAACACTGCCAACTTCTTAACTTAAGCTAATATTTTTGATGCACACAGCAGCTTTATACTAGTTTACCGTAAAATGGGGAATTAAAAATAACCACTACGGCATCGCTTTCGTTTTCCTAAACGGGTACATTTTGTTAACTGTGTGATAAACAGAGCCCAAACTGAAATATCATGATTTCTTTTTTTTTATTATAACGATTTAGTCAGTTACTGACCAAGAAAGTTATTTGGGAGATGGTAGAAAACAGAAAAAGAGAAAAGGGTGAACGGTGAAGCTAAAAATGATCTGGCATTATTCAGGGCAGCAAAAATCATCGGGGTCCTCGGTCGGAGGACCTCGCGAGGAGGTAAACAAGCGATGTTGGGTTAATTAACGACCATCCATCGATTTTACCGCAATTAAGTTTGCGTGTGATCGCGATGGCAGAAGATAATGAGCTGGAAAAGTATGTAGCGTGTTAATATTTGTCCTCACTTGGTATTTGCGCACTGGTGAACGCAGGTTTCCTCTAAATCTGTAACAGCGCTCCGTCGGTAAAAAAAAAAAAAAGAGGCTCATTTATTGTGTTGTTAGACGAGCTTGTGACTGTATGGAAAGCCTGCCTTCGTGGTGGCACACACCATGAGCTCCCTGTCCTGTATAAAAGTAGATCAGCGGGTCTCCTCTGCTGGGATTGTGCCGATTCAGCAGCTCGGGTCAAACCAGGACACTGTTCCCCTTTTGCTCCTGATGATTCACTTTCTCTTCCGCATCACTCTGTTTTCTCTCACTTAATTAGATTATTCTCCCCTTGGCTCCCCCTTGAGGATTTGCGCCATCTTTGTCCTCGGCTTCTCCCCATTTTTCCTCCCCTTCACGTGAACAGTGTTTGACGTTTTTTCCTCTTTATTTATCCATCTAGGCGTGCAGTGGAGGAGCTCCTCAGGGAGACTGACAGAGCCCGCGTGAGAGCAGAGACCATGGGCCCTGCAGGATGGTGAGCACCGTGTCTGACATGCCATCTGTCTGACTCTTACTTATCTGCTTTAGTAAGAAGGCTTGGTAGTTGAGCCTCACATAATGTGTGCATTGCACTTGAACTAATGAAAATGGCTGCAGTAGTGTGCGATACTGCAGATTTTTGGTATCGATCTGATACCAAGTAAATAGACGGCGAGTATTGCCGATACCAATACCGTTAATTTTAACTTGTAAAGGAAAATGAATGGATCGTCATTCATTTGCAACAGATTTAATGAGCATTAAATCGCTGTGATTGTTACTTTTCACTATAATTAGTTAACACATAAAAATGCATCTTTTAGCTTTTTGTGGCATTGGGTTTCTTGGAGACTTGCAGTGTAAATGTGCCTGTCTCTGCAGCACGCTAGGTTAGATCCTCTAGCTTAAATGTGTTATAAGCTATAAATAAAATCGATGTGGAGGTTAACACCAAAAAAGATTCCTGTAATTTTTTCATAGTGCATGCCTGAAAATATTTTTCACTAAAAATTATTTAAAGCAATTCCTTGGGCTACATACTGAACTTAGAGGATAGAGGCAAAGCATTGTTCCTATTGCGCTAGTATGTGTCTAAACCAGTGTTGGTATCAATACTATCGATACTATCTTTGGCTTGATCCACCCACCTCAAATTTGAATCCAGTGTGAACAGGGAGGACAAATAAAAATGACTGAAGGTCGAAGGTGCACTACAATTACTTAACACTACATGTTAAGTAATTGGCATTGATAGCATGTAGGAAAATCCTAGGCAGGTCCTGATGATTCAGATTATGATCTAAGTAATGGGATAATGGGAAAAAGTATCTATGTGACAGTCAAACAACTCTTGGTGTTTAACCACACTATATATATATATATATTAGAGTGGTTAATAAAGCCAAAATATTACCTTCAGAATGAAAATTTTCAGTGTTGCAGTCCCTCAAAGAGGACATGAGTGGGTCAGATTTTGGCACTTTTTAATTTGGCTTATTTATTCTAGTGTCTCAAGCCGTCATAACTTCTTCTACAAAATATATCTACGTAAAATGAACCTTTAATTTCATTTATACTCAATTTGTGCAACTATATAAACATATAAACAACCATATAAACTTTACACCTGCTCGAAATGTCACATCCTACAATAGAAGAGAATGCATGTATTTGTCTCTGTACAGGTGCACAATGACATTTGAAGCATCTTCCTGAGCAGTGCATACAATTAAGATGCATCAAATACAAACTTATTTTAACTGGAAGTGAAAGTTAAAATAGACACACATACCCATTACGCTGGCCTTAATGATCATAGACAGGATGTTCATAGTAGAGGCAGTGTAATGTGTTTTTCTATAGCCCCTGAGCAAACTTTGAGTATCAGTATTATGGGATATATCCGAGCTTCAATAGCAAAACTGCACAAATTTAAAATCTGTGAGAGTGAAAGTAGTATTAAATCATGACTGTGTTAGAAAATGTTTTTGATTTCAAAGAAGGAGGTGGCCCCAGTGTAAAAATGTAGATAAATGATATATCTTGTTTTGACCTGCCTCCAATCTGACATTTCAAATTGACCCAAATGCTTTTTTTTTTTTTTTTGACCAAAAAACAGATAAAGAAAAAAAAATCCAGGGTATAAAGGCCTGCTTGTGTTATCCTATGCCACAGATATTAAATTAGTGCAGTTTTGCTTTTGAAGCTCTAATATATCCTTTTTAAAACTTCAGATCCTGACACTTACAGTAGACATTGCATCGGTTTGGATGCTGCTTTTAACAAAGCTCCAATTTGTTTTTCACCTCCTAAGTTATGAGTATTCATAAAAAAGCGTACTCGGAGGGCCTGTAACTCATTTTGAAGGAGGAAGCGTGGATCCATTACATACAATAAAGTTATTCTACTAAAAAAAGAATATCTGATACTGATAGGAGGACAGATGGAAGGCACTGATTGATTTTTCATCGAATGTGTTTAGATTTATGGTCCCATGCTGCTCTCTGCTATTTAGATCAATGGGAAAGGCATCAGTAAAACGGGGTTGGAAGCTGTGGTCGACTGCACACATTTGATAAAAGTGATGGTCGTGCATTAGTGCACCCAGTAAAAGTAAAGAGCAACTCTTTCTCAGATGAATGAGGATGTCAGTGCAGGATGTAATCAGACTGTCACCAAGAACCGCCCTACTGTAAAACAATTACAGTAGAGCTGCGCTGCATTCATCCCTCATTACAATGAACGGTGCACATTTGAGAGCAAGTGGTCGTATTCTCGACTGGTGGATAAGCGTCTGAGTGGCAGAGAGCAGTCTCCTAGCATGGTTTGTCCCCTCATTGAAAGTCAATATGAAGATTTCAAACAATGGCCTTTCTCCTGTGATGAAAAAGTTCTATCCCGGTGGTAGTCGTCTCTTCCAGGAGCCATCCTCAGGGAACTAAATGGTTTAAATATGAATGTAAATGTAAATTTTATGTCATGGCTTTCACAGTCACTAGATCTCTTACTAAAATGCTTTATATTGGGGGTTTATTTCCATTAATTTACCTGTAGTTAAATGTTTGGTATTGTGTAACAAGCATGCGAGACAATTAATTTCTTGTTAGCAAAAATACAGTTTTAAAAACGTTTGCATTGTTATTGGCTTTTCTCTGCACTGAGTTCATGCCTTGAGGCCATTAATAGGGTTCTCTAACTAATCTAGGGTCATATATAACCAGTTTGGTAATATGTAAAAACACTATGATGTCCTGGAAAATCCTGGAATGTTTGATCTTGTCTGCATTGTGTAGTTATTGCTACTTTTTATCTCACTGATATTTAAATTTAAAGTAGTCAAACCTGAAACTAAAATTGTCATTTTTTTCCATCAGGTTTTTGCTGTAAAACATTTTGATCTCAATTACTGTATTACAATCTGATACTGAGGTCATGAATCCAAATCACCCAGTTTAAGCCACTGAGTGTGAGTTTTTAAGTTTTAAAAAATATATATTTGAAATACCACAAAGAGATGTCTAATGTCTATTTCTGAGGATTAAATCTGTGTGGAAAATCACAGAACTGTTTATTGATTTTGAGGGAGGCTTAATGCTGGAGTCAGCCCATAAAATACTGCCAGCTTTTAATCAGTTTCATGAGGATTCAAAGGCAGAAAGAGCAGAAACACTCAGTATCCTCAGCGGTGGCTGCAGCTCTGTCTGCGATGACTTTTAAAGATGAATCTGTCCTGTGAGTCCTGTGTGGCGGTTATTAGCTCTGACCTCAGTGACGATCCTCCATCTGTCTCTCTAATGGTCGCAGGGGTAAGTGTAACACGTCTAACTAACCTCTCATGTCCTTCACTTCTCTTTAAGGTTGAAATGTCCTCTGCGAAGCACCAACAAACGCTTCCTCCTCAACACGCTGCGCTCCACCGGCCTGCAGCGACGCACTGGCGAGCCCGGAGCCGGACACTCCACCGCAAGGGGGCGCCTGAGGAGCGATTCCCCAGACAGAGGCCGCAGCAGGACACCTCCCAGAGATCACAAGAGTAATGGAGGCCACATTGATCATAAACATCATCACAGGGACGGCCGCAGAGACAGAGATAAGAAGCTGGATAGAGACAAAGACAGACGCCACGGAGGCGACAGAGAACGGAGACACACTGATAGACCGAGCCGAGACAAAGACACGCACGCACACACAAACTCCACGAGTTAAAATAGCCCAACTGTGTGTGTGTGTGTGTGTGTGTGTGGACTTAAACCTGAGAGGATCTGCTGACTTTGCTCAGAATGAGCTACACGAAACTTTAAGTTCTTATTACACCGGATTGTAAAGGTGGACAATTGTCTCTCATGATGGGTTCAGTTGCTGCCCCCCCCCCCCAGTAAACTTTTGTTTGAATAACACATCCCACACGTTTATGTTCTTCATTCTCTTCATCATAGTTTGATGCAGTTATGCTTCGCCCATAATAGCAGGCTTTGTTTCAATCATAATGTCATTACCATTTTTCTGTTATTATTCACTAGCCATGATGTTTACATAGGCCACGCTGCAGTCGCCACTGGGTAAGCACATGTTATCGCCTGTCCAACTTTTTGACATGTATACACCAGCTATCACAAAGGGTTTTGTTTGTCAAAGGAGAGAGGAAAAAAAACTTTGTTTTCCCGACACTCCTACATGCGCCTGTGCTTGTGGTTTAGTGGTCTCCAGAGGATTATGTGTGACAGTGAAGTATTTTAACCCTTTAACACATACAGTATTTTCACCTTTTGTAAAGTTTGAAGATGGGTGGACGTTTGCTGAAGCCTTCAGTGTCCTCTCCATTTAGCCTCCTTTTTATTTTTTACTGTTTCACAGCCTTATATAAACGTGACAAATGTCAAGCTCTTTGGCCCTGATTACACACGGCTCAATTACAGCCACGTTAACCTGCATCACTCCTCGCTTAGGCCATTACATAAAGGGAAAAAAAAAATCTGCAGCTTGAAAGTTGGCTAAAGTGCATCTGAGGCGCATCATGCTTCATAAATCACGTTGTCTCCACTGTAGAGGAGAATGGCTCTGGTTAACTGTTTCCTTCCTCTTTGAAACAATAATCAAATATAAACACCATTAAGCCATAGTGCAGGCGGTGTTTTGTGTAGAATTGGTTTACTTGAACTTTATTGCATCGCTGAGTGCCCCATTAAGATACAGTCGAAAGTGGCATAATTGCTTCTGAAGAACTCCGGGCAAATACGGTCTATTGATACACACCAGCGAGGTAAAAGCCCGATCTTCCTGTAATTTTTCCTGAAAAATAAGTAAATCGCGTTCGTCTCCGCGTTGCGTAAAGGGACCCGAGAGACCTCGAGGGCTGTGGAGACACGCTCCACGCGCACGGCTGTTAATTGAGTTCAGTCCAGTCACTCCAGCCTAATTGATTTAATGGCGCGAGCACACGCCGCAGCTGAAGCCTAATGACCAGCAAACACCGGCGAGAGTGCGGCGAGCGAAGTGGCCACATGAGCTCTTGTTTGTTGTCGCCAAGATACCTGCGTGCGGAGACCGTGGGCCCATGCGTGCGAAATGGTGTTAAATGATGCATTTACAAAAGTATAATGGGCGCGTTTTAAACGTTAGAGGGGGGAAAAGCAGATAAATGAAAAAAGTGGGCTGTGTGTGGTGTTTGAGCTTTTCGCCAGAGTTTCCAAGACAACTGTTTCTCCATCCACGTCTCTTATCTGGCGGGTCAACCAATGTTTGCGCCCATACGTATCGATTTATCAACCTCAGTGTGCACACGAGAGATATATCCATATAAAATGTCGATGGCTGTGCTGTTTGAGGACAATCCAGCTTGCCTTGCGTGAGAATCGTGCTCCTTCCAGACGCTCTTGATTAATAACGCCCTCTTTTGCCCCACATGTGGAGGGAGCAGTTGCACGGTCACCTGTTTTTGTTGTTGTTGCTGCTGCTGCTGTTGGGGTCAGACACAGGTGGATGCCAGGTAAACCTTGCGGTATTTACAGAGTAGCATTGATTTACGCGCTGTTGTTCAGTTGGCTGAAAAAAAAAAAAAAGCTCACAGAGCTGCAGAATATCCTGGAAACTGGGAGCTATCGGCCTGCCGTTTTTGAGCAAATAGTGAAACCAATGGCTTGGGCGCTACAGGATCACATGGTGGCAGAGTGACACACCTGTGTGGAGCATTAAGGGCCTCGCAGTTGCGCCTGAGGCAGGTAGGGCTGAAGGTTTACGCCGAGGTAGGGCGCAGGTTACGGCGCGTGTGTGCGCGCAAACGGCCCCCCTGCAGACACGGGTCCTCGCCAGCCATGAATCGGGAAGATCACTTTTATCCCTCTCAGGTTTTTAAAGACTCCTGCGCGTACCAGAGATCACAGGGTGATGACTACAGCCACAGCAGCCCGCCACCCTGCCTCTACATGAGCAGGCAGGTCCACTCCGTCTACACACCGCCGTCCATGGGAGCCTTGGAGCAGGCCGGCCTTCCTGACATTGCTACCACTTACAGTTCGCCGAGTATGCGGGAGGATCCTGGCGTGCCCCAGCTCCTCCACCACCACCAGCAGCAACAGCAGACCCTCCAGCCGCCTCCAGGCTACAGTGACCCCGTGGAACAGAGCAGATATCACCTGCCATTCCCCTGGATGAAAACCACTAAATCCCACTCACACACCTGGAAAGGACAGTGGGCAGGTAAACACTCAAACAAATCAGCGTATACAGTGTGATCATTAGCGTACTACAGAATCTGACTGAGGGGGGTTAAAGTTCTTAATTTGAGTTCAAAGAGGGCTTCAAATTAAAATATGGGACAGTCATGTTTACACAATTTAGCTACATAACAAGTAACTTTCAGCTAACTCCTTCTGAGGCCTTTAATGACATCACGGCCCCAACAATACGATCCCGGGTGTTTCAGTTTACCTGTCAGTCATTTTTGTAAAAGGCCCGGGAGGTGAGCGGTTGCTTCATATGAGGTATTATCGTCACAAAAATGTGAGTTTCGTTTGTACAAAAACATTTTCACAAATCACGCTATCTTCAGCCACGAGCAGCCTAATAATAGTCTTTTATATTGCCAAGTCGTTTGTAATTCTAATGTGGTCTTGATAACGTGGAACAAAAAAAAGAAACTCTAAAATGTAATGAACTTTTTAAGGAAAGTATTTTTTAGGGAAGAGTTTTCAGTGGACTGAATTTCACCAAACTTGGAGAGGCTTTACGTGCAGCGAGTTTGCGTAAAAGCAGTGTCGTTGTTAGGAAAAAAAATATTTTGGTTAAAATAAAAAGAGCAAATAAAGTTCTCGTACTTTTCTTACGTCAGAATAAAATTCCCAGAAAACATTTCTTCTGATTCTCTCTCCTAAAGAACTCTCAATAGAAGCGTCATGTATGAACGAGCCACTCTCATAAAGTCGAAACTGAATAACTTACACTCTGATATAGCAGGCCCACGTTGTTTTATTATTCTGAGATACTTAATGGACAGTGTAAACTTATTATATATGAAATTTTGAAACAGTTACTATGAACTTAAAAAAAATCCAAAAGTTTTTAAAATCAGCATGAACGACGGTAACGGGAATGATGCCCAGAATCGAAACTATAAATTAGTGCCTTACAAATAGGCAATAATTATAATCAGTGGCTTCACATGATTTATATTCATTTCTAACAACTTGACTATGTAAATCTAATTAAAAATAGTCTGCATGATGGCGTATTTCAGTTTTACTTTGACAATAAATGTATATTAAATTCATTATTTTTATTATTATTATTATTATTCGGAACGTATTAAATACAAATTTAGCTGCACATTCAACGTCATAAATGAATGAATAGTCTTTCTTGCATTGATGTTCAAAATGAGCAAATTATATGAGGGAATTTCAAACTAACTGATGCGTGACTGATAACGTGCAAATAAAGACAATAATTACTTTTCTATAATATTTTAAATCTTAGTTTTTTACTTGACTGTTTTAAATGTGAAAAATATATAATTGAAAATGGGAGAGATCACTTTTTAACAGTCAGTTCATTAAAACGTGGATCTCATCGAGTTGTGGACGTAATTAATTAATTCATTTATTTTAAAGAAGCGGTCAATGGATTCTTCTAAGGCGTCTAAAAACTTCTATTGTTTCGGTCTTTATCTTCAACAATATGAAAATACTTTAAAAAAAATTTAAAACTTATATACAGCTTTCAGTGACTGTAGCAAATACTTCCTGATTGTGGATTATGATATGCACAGTAATTAATCTGCTTGAATTTCAGCTCTGGTTGATCACGTGCACTGGGAAATATGTTTTGTCCTTGAAGGAAATGTTAATTTAATCTCTAAAACAAGTAATCTGTAATAATCTTCACCCCTAAAATCTCAATTAAACCTGTTTCAATAATCGCCCGTAATAATCACCTGTTTTTTGGCCAAGTATTTGGTTAGTACTGGTTAAATAAAGAGTGGCTGGAGATTCTTCTTTACATTCATTTTCAAGATTTTTTTTAATTTACATAAAAAACACTTTTCATAGTTTACAATGAAAAATGTAAATTTACACTTGAAGTGCTTCAGATTTTAATAAAAATTCATTTTTATTACATATTCTTGTTTTTAAAGGGCGCTAATTCTCCGTGTGGTTTTAGGGTCATACGTGATGACTGAGAATGAAGAAAACAAACGCACGAGGACTGCGTACACGCGCGCCCAGCTGCTGGAGCTCGAGAAGGAGTTCCTTTTCAACCGCTACATCTCGAGGCCGAGGCGCGTGGAGCTGGCGCTGACCCTCAGCCTCACCGAGCGCCACATCAAGATCTGGTTCCAGAACAGGCGCATGAAGTGGAAGAAGGAGGAGGACCGGAGGAGGGCGAGGGGGGCCGACCCCGACCAGGACTCCTCCATCACCTCTGGGGACCAGGGGGAGACCGCGGGAGGGGTTTCCTCCTCAAACGGACCTCACGCCACCACACCCCCCATGTCCCCTCTGCACGGTCTGTCTGCCTCCGGCTCCAGAGAGAGCGCATAGATCCAGCGGATATATTTTTAAGACTTTAAGATTTTTAAGACTCAGACCTGAACTCATATTTAAGGGATCATTATAACTTTGACTGAAACTCAAATCCAAGTTTTAGGAAACATGTACATTTTTTTTTTTTCTGAAAAGATTGAGGGGAGGGGGGGATTATTTACGGACGTTTCTTCATCGCCAAACATCCTCTGAGATAGGTTCAACACCAGATGGCACGCGGAGACAACAAATTCACCGAGGACGAACTCCTTTCCCGACAACGGACCACATACATGATTATCAGTGCTGTTGTTTTCCATACATCAGTTTACACTTGTATATACACTAAGCTGTATTATGGAGATTGTTAATTAGAATCAATGATCCACGTGTTTTATTGATTGAGATTTTATGGATACATTCAGAATTAAAATATACCACAGCCCTTGAGCCCGAATGATGAGGTTTAGAGGCAAACTGGCGCAAAACTCAACCTCCGGCACTTCATAATTTGTTCGCGCCATCAGTGAGCAGCAGACTTTGGAGGCGCAAGCGGCAGATCTTCTTCACCTCCTCGATGCCGCGCGCTCTCTCCACTGCACGCTCGTTCTGGCAGCGCTCGGACAGCTGCAGCAAGATGTTCGCTTTGTCGTTCATCCGGGCGCAGATGACAAATGGAAAGCCGAATCGCTTTTTATACTCCTCGTTGAGACGGGCCATGCGCTCGGCTTCCCCCGAGGTCAGCGCGTCCATTCCGGCTCCCGCCTGCTCCCGGCGTGACTCCCGGGTCAAGGTGCCTCTCTGCAGGTCCCTGCCGGCCAGGTCGGGGTGACACCTTAGGATCCCCTCTTTACCTGCACATAAAACCGAACATTTCTGTCAGTTTAGAACATTAAACTGATACAGGCCTACTTATTAAACAAACGCGTAAAAATTAACCCGAGCAGGGGGTAGAAATGTTAATAAACTAATTCCGTGGATCACCTGATTTTGGGAGCTCGTCGATGAAGTCACTGATAGCAGCCTCCAGAGCATTCAAACTCACAAACGGACGCTTCGACCACACAGCGGCTGTTATAACAGGACATTTCTCCACCACGTTACCGAAAGTGTTCACAAAATCCTCGTAAGAAAGAGCATTTACAGCTGAAATGTCCATGACTTATGGGAACAGTCTTCAGTGGTGCCACAGGCAGTGTTTGTTGACCTTTACGCAACACTTTGCAACAAGGGTTAACGCACCGCTGGACACACAGAACACCCCCCACCCTCCCCGTATAGTCTGGCAGTGGTTAATATTTTCTTATGGAAACTATCATCTGACACTGGAAAGAACAGTTGGCTGAGTGTAAAATAGGAGGAAAACAGTGATTTAAATTTTAGCTGCTGAGTCCTTATTCAGCATTACAATTCTGAGCTCTGGCGTCCCCTAGCGCTGAACAAAGGTCAGCAAAGAATATAAATCAGACGGCTATCCATTAAAACAGCGCGACGCCGGTATTGAGATCATAATAAGGCTTCAGTGGTGGAAGAAGCAGACAGATCCTCTACATGAGAATAGCCTGTAGCGATAGAGCTGCAGGAAAATTTTACGTAAGCTAAAAGACCTGCACTGAAAATGGTGGCATTTTCAGACAAATTCAGGGGATCACATTTCCTGAACGAGGCTCTTTAAATCTGAATGGCTAAAACTAATTGTGTAAACCTACCTACAATCTTTGTTTTCTTAGAACCGATAATGACGATAACGATACAATAAATAGTTTTGTGGATATTTTGTTGACTCTATTTACATATTTTTTACATGCTTTACTGAACAGGTATGTGCCACCCTGCCTAGACCTCTTGCCCCTCATTTGCCCCCATTTAAAGTTTTCTAGATCCGCCACTTTAAAAAAGGAAACATTAAAAAAAATTATTTCATTACTGTCATTTAGTAAAATCTACTTTTAAGTAGAACACAGCTAGGAAAAAACTTTTTTTCTAATCTTTGATAGTTTACCTTCTTATAAAAGTTAATTGTTTTTCTCTTGGGATCAAAATGAGAAACACACAGACACATCCTCAACATAAATATGACCCATGATATTACATTGTAATTATCAATTTTATTATGAATGAGTAAATCATCTTTTACTGTATGTATAATATGTATGTATAATACAGACATGCCAGAATACAGTATATAAAGTCTATAAAAATAAGAATCTACAAACTTACGCTGCAGCACACTCCCATTTGTTAATGTATAATGGAGCTAAACAAACACTAAACAGTTGCTCATGCATGGCATGAAAATGGATATCAAATTCTGTCTCATCTACATAATACGGGTGGTGTTTTCAAGGTATGTATATGAACAATTAATGGCTATTTCAGTTATTATTGTTCCACAGGAACTTATCAAGGAATAAAATTAACTGAATGTTAATGGCTTTTCAGCTCTACAAAACTTATGGAAGTGTCACATTCAGTCCTGTGATGAGTTTTTAGTTAAAATAGCTCTTACCTTATGACTGGATACACAGACCTGAGTCTCCACACCATCAGAGAAGAGCAGCCCAACAGCGCCAGAGCAGCTAGAGAGATAGAAAATTAAATATTTCAACAGTTTGAACTATTATTGAAGAAAAAAAAAAAAATACACGTAAAAAGCCCAAAGAAAATGGAACATGAATGTGTCATTAAGACCAATTAATTGCTTGTTTAAGTCTTTCAATTTTTATTTTAAAATTAACCTGCAAAATTTAAATTGAAGTTTGCATAGAACTTGTGTCATTATTGGGACACATGTTATTTCTTACATTCATTTTCTCCCAGTGGCATCATATACTGCATCACATTGTAAGAAAATCTTCATTTAAAATTTGTGATTGCCATTAATTCTGCAGGATCCTGAAATACTCACATACCTGCAATCATGTTTCTCTGCCTCCAAATGTTAATTCTCCTGGTATGCAGGGGGAAATGTTCTTACTGCAACTCCACTACTCCACCTACAGGGCAATTTAACCCCCAGGGAATTAGGAAGGCTGATCATGATGCTGTATAAACATGGTTGGCAGGACACCTAATTCCTACACAGATTTACTACTGCACAAAATCACATGGGCAAAAACGGCCTCAGTCCAAAAAAAGAAAAGAAAAAAGTTTTATTAGTGACCACCACACTCTCACTGGAAATAAGATACACAAGATTTATTTTTCTTTCAAGACAGGCTAGTGGGCTGGGGGTGTAATTCTGGCCAGCAGCCCGAGGACATAACGTTTAGCATTATCAGCCAGTCAGCCAATCAAAAATTAGTTTAGCATCTTCCTGAGAAAGAGTTTTCATCTACCTTAATGGCTCTTGAGTTAATAGGGAGGGAGTTTTCACACAAGATCCTGGGAATGCAACTCTCAGTCTCTTTAATGAGGTTGGCCACCTCCTCATTACAGGATAGGCTATTCCTCCTAAAGCTACACAGGTTACTTCTAGCAGTTTTCAGTCCAATTCCTTTTTTTTAAAGCAACACATAAGCCCTGAAATGAATCTTCCTTCTGGTAAAACTAAAGCATTTTTTAAAACAAAACCAGCCAAATAAAAAGAAAAAAAGCTTTCCTCCAAGTGTGGGCTTAAGTTCAAAAGTATTCTACAACCCTTTCCCATCCAGTCTCTCTGCATGCATATTTCCTCCTTTCTATCCCCTTTAAAGAGAAGGGCCCCAAACCCACCAATCAATTACTTCTGGGACTCAACAGCAAATAGCTGGACTAGAGTGGATCTCCGCTCCCACACTGGTGCGGCCTAACCTGACATTTAGTAGGAGATCACACAATTACCTAAATTAAACAACAATTCAGCCGAGGTAAGGAAAATTAGGACATGTCTCACCAGGCAAGCAGGAAATGTTGAAGATCACGTCCTCATACTGATACACCAGTTTCAAAGAAACACATGCAAAATCTGGGTCTGTTAACAGTGACAGCAACTTTCCATCAGAGAGGAGTCTCAGCACATTCTGGAGCCAGGGGTTGTTATTGAAACAGGCTTAAGATCAAATGCTGCTTATCTGCACAACCAAAGTGGCTCAAATTGCCTCACCTATACGAAGGAGGTCATGTCACATGGGAGCTCATGCTTACTCCATACATCTAAGAGAGGCTTTGCAGATGGAATACAGCACCTCTAACTAGAAACACAGGAAAAGAGCAGACTTATTTAGGTGTGCACAGATGTTTATTTATTTATTTGTTTGTTTTAGATACAATGTTATAGCAGAGAAAGTATTATACAGTCAGGCAAACATTTCATTTGTGAGTAAAGGAGAGACTGGTTTCATGATAAGCAGACTTTGACATGAGGATAAAAATCTGTGGTCACATAGCTTCTCTCTTGTTCTCTCTTTTTTTTTGAGTGACGAAACGTTTCTCCCACAAAACGCTACGTCCAGATGAACAGAATCAACTTTTGGAGAGTAGCTTTAAATACACAGAAATTAGTGCATTTCTGATACATGAGAGGAATTTTGTGGGTTGACAGGGTGTGCCTGTAACTTTTCCTGACTGGAGCTTATTGAGCACAAGAATGACATACAAGACGTGGTTTCTACAGCCCAAGTATACTTATATGATGGTGCATGAGTACTGCACAAGGCTGCATGGTGGTGCAGTGATTAGCACTATCAACTCATCGCAAGACAGTTCAGGATATAAATCTCTTGATTTGTTACGACATGTCTTTTTGGAATTTGAATGCTCTCCTTGTAAATTTCTGAGCTTCTTGGCATCGTTCAAATTTAGACCTTCTTTCTTTTGTACAGTTTGCTTAAGCTGTAGTATATAGTTAAACTCTTTGTGGTAGATAATGAAAAGTGTTAGGTTAAATATGATTTATCCAGTTCCAGCAATAAGTATAAAATGCTCACTATATTAGATTTAAAGATAAAGACACTCCATTTTACTCTAAATTATTGTGAGAAGACTATCAAGTAACATGCTCTATGGATAAAATGATATATGGGTGATAACTGTATCTGATGGTTACAGAAGATCCTTCTCAGATATTGAAATGTCTGACTACACAGACATCGTTCATAAATGTCCACAGAGGTCAGTGGATCACGGCAGTCGCTGAAATTCTGGTGGTTATATCTTTATAACCAAGCTGAAAAAAAAGAAAGAGAGTGAGACTGAGTGATAATGGTTATTCATCCAGTTGTGGAGGTGAACATGCCGACCCTCTGCCCTCAGTCTACAAGCTGGTCAAACAGTGATAATGAGCTACGCTCTTTATTTTGTTCATAAAAAGATGTTTATAAAAAGATTAAATATATACCTTAATATTGATGAGGTATGTGAGGACTTTACTGACTACAGCCAAACCAGAAACAGAAGCAAACTGCATACTTTCAGCTCCATCATGATGTTTTCATTTAATATATTCATTCAAAATGTCTTATTCTGGGGGAGTAGGTGGGATGATCATGTAATGGGTTTTGCACCAGGAGCCAACTGAGTTTGTCAGACAAAACCTGA